TATATATTATTATATAATATATATATTTATATATATATATATATATATATATATATATATATATATATATCTTTCGATATTATCACATAATATGGTATCATAAACTAATTTCACTAATTTTTAAAAATATCTAAACTATTTAAAATAATTATTAAAATATCATTTAAATAGTATTACTCGAGAAAAACTATTAAAAGTTTAGAAATAATGATTGGAACCTAACAGAAAACATTAATTACTGAATTCAAGTGAATCATTCAGTAATTATTCTAATTTCTATGATTAATGATCTCATAGTATTATTACTTTAAATTTCGAAGTTGATTAATAATAATTTATCTAATTATACTTGGATAATCTCGATTCAATGGCATAACATTAAAATGATTGAAGTAATTCAAACTCCTTTTTTCTCTTTTTATTTAAACGCTATCATTTTATCTTATCATGTTGGCTAATAAAAGCAAAAAACTATATCAATATGTACATACACTAATAATCATGTTATGATTCTCTATCTTCAATTCTTCAGTTATTCACATGTATAACTTGTATAACTTGTATAATTTTCTTTGTATAATTTTCTGTACATATACATATATAGTATATATATTTTCAATTCTAATTTTTTTCTTAACTTGTTAAAAAATTCAAATTAGACAAAATAATTGAGTTATATATAAAAATATGGAAAGTTTTGTGTGCACGTTTATCTTTTCACACAGACAAGTACAACATTGAAAAGATAAGTAATAAATAAAACGAGAATAGTCGAGACAGTGTCACTTCATTAAAGATGATGAAGCTACTGTTCCTACTATTTCTTTCTTCTTTTGTGACTCTTGGATGGACTTTGGAAGATGCGCCCAGAGTAAAAACTCCTTTAGGTCCAATTAAGGGATATTATAAGATATCTAGCAATGGAAGACAGTATGAAGCTTATGAAGGAATTCCATATGCGTTGCCTCCAATTGGGAAATTTCGATTTAAGGTAAAAAATGTTTGATTAGATTTGATTTTTGAAATTGAAAAAATTATTTAATATTATGAATCTTTAAGCATAAACTATTATATAATTGTTTGTAATACAATATTCAAATTTCTTTGTTGAACTTAATGATAATAAAAGAAAATATTTATTGTTTTCTTTAGGTTCCTCAAAAACTTCCACCATGGATGGGCGAGCTTTCCGCAACAAACTTCGGCTCTCCTTGTCTACAGTATAGCCAATTGCCTTCAAATCCGAATGACAAAATTGAAGGTGCTGAAGATTGTTTGTATTTGAATATTTACGTGCCGGCAGATAGAACACCTTCTCAATCGTTGCCAGTAATCTTTTGGATCCATGGTGGTGCTTTTCAATTTGGTAGCGGAATAACAATGGGTGCCAAGTATCTCATGGATAGCGACGTTATATTTGTTACATTTAATTATCGTTTAGGAGTATTAGGTATTTATTTAGGAATAACTTTGTCATTTTCTATAATGATCAAATATAATTGTAAAAAAAGTTATAATAAGTTATATTGTTTAAGGTTTTCTTAGTACAGAAGATGAAGTAGTTCCCGGTAATATGGGATTGAAGGATCAAAGTATGGCGCTACGATGGGTTTCAGAAAATATTGAATGGTTCGGTGGTAATTCAAAAAGAATAACTTTAGTAGGTTTAAGTGCAGGTGGTGCTAGCGTTCATTATCATTATTTATCACCTATGAGCGCCGGTCTTTTCCAAGGTATATTTGCAAAATATGTTATTCTGATTTCTAAAATATTCTGATTTCTTGATTTAATATTTTATTGTAGTACATTTTATTATTTTTATCTATTTATTCTCTTACTTTTTTTTAAAATTTTATGTAATACAGGTGGTATCTCGATCAGTGGTACAGCTTTCAATTGTTGGACTCAAACAGAAAATTCTTTGGAAAAAGCCAAGCAAGTGGGAGCTCTTATGGGTTGTCCTACACGTAATAACAAGGAAATGATACGTTGTCTTAGGTACCGTCCAGCTCGAGCTGTAGTTCAAACTCTAGCTAATTTTATGGTATATTTCTTCTCTCATTATATTATTTTGTTGTATCATATTGATATAATTTTTAATTCAAAATTAATAATCTAATTATAGCGATTCTATTATAATCCATTCACACCGTTCGGACCTGTTCCGGAGAAAGTTAATAATGAATCGAATTCACTTCCATTTATCGATCGCACTCCTATTGAAATTATAAGTAGCGGTGATGTTCAAGATGTTCCATGGGTCACAGGAGTTACCAGTGAAGAAGGATTATATCCAGTTGCTGGTAAGAAATGGGCGAAATAATCAAAAAATATTTATATAATTTTGAATTGCGATTTAAAATCATAAATTTTACAGAATTTATTGTTAAACCAGAAGCTTTAAAATTATTGGATGAAAATTGGGATCTTCTTGCCCCTCATTTTCTTGATTACAATTATACTCTTCCCAAAGAGAAACATGTTGAAGTTGCTAGACTCATTAGGAAATATTATTTTGAATCAAATAAAATTGATAAAACAACTGTAAAACATTTAATTGATGTAGCCAGTGACCGATTCTTTGTTGTTGACAGTCAAAAAGCAGCTAGAATGCAAGCTAAAGTTAATCGACAACCTGTCTGGTATTATTATTATACTTATAGAGGTGCACACAGTATTAGTGAAGCTATGAGTAAAACTACTAACAATTATGGTATAAAATTCAGATTCAGAACTTCATTTTTAATATAAGAAAGTAATGATAACTGCATCTATTAAATGCTTTATACAGGTGTGAGTCATGCAGATGATGCATATTTGGTTGTAGATACTCCTTATCTCGATTCCACAACCACAAAAAATGATATTAAAATGCAAAAAATTTTGATTGATTTTTGGGTATCATTTGCAACTAATGGGTAACTAGATATTTTAACTGATATATATTTAAATAGAAACTATACTAAAATAGAAATCAATTTATATTATATATTTGTTTTTAAATTGTTTTAGAGTACCAAACGTTAATAGTGTTCAATGGCCAAGATTAAATCCAAATGAAAAATCACTTCATTATTTACACATTGCTGGACCAGAAAAGATTCAAATGGATAGCAGCACAAATTTTGGTCACAAAGATTTCTGGAATTCTATTAATTTTAATGAAAACAAATTACATAGTACATCTGGCACATTGAAAGAAGAATTATAAATTATATAAAAATATTTCATACAAATTTTGTAATTTTGTAAATTTCAATAAATGTAAAATTATATATTTTTTATGAAAATATAGAATTTTCTAAAATATATAATTATTAGATTTTCTAAGATATTTACAATTATTAATCTAGTTTTACATTTCATATTTTCATAGAAATTTTATATAATAAAGTATTATATGAATAATTACATTATTTAATTTAAATTTATGTTTATTTTACTTATTTATTTTCATTAACTAATAAAAAAATAAACAAATTTAAGTACTTACAGGATTATTGAATACAATATTGCAATCTGGATGTCTGCCAATTTGATTAATTCCTTTTTTAATTGGATATGTTTCAGTGCCAACAATTAGTTCTCCAATCTAAAATATTTCGTATAAAAATATTGCTAAATTTTACTTTGAATTTATAAAATAAAAATATGAAATATAGAATATAAGTTACGATAAATAAAAAAGAATGATGTAAAAAAATTAAATATAGAGAAAAAATATATAAATACAAAAAATACAAAAAAAAAATATCAAGACTATTGAACTTATTTTTACCTGTATTTTATTATTTTGTGTAGAATAAGAAATTTGTTGTGATGATGCAGCATCACAATTTTCATAAACTTGTGTTGCTATAATATCCATTATAAAAACAATTTATCTGAACAACATTTATTTTTATATTACATATAATTCCTTTTTTAAGATTATAAAGAAGATATAAGATAACCTCATTTAGTGCGCACTAACTTAACAGATTTACTAATAACTAGAAGCGAACAAATATTTTATCAAATAAGAACATTTTAGTATACATTAATGAAACGGACAAAAATTTACTCAGCTTACATAATTTTTATGAAGATATTATAATTAAACAATTATTAATCAAACAATAATACAAAATGTCACGCACCATTATTAAAATGGCTATTCCCGCCATTAAATTCATGTAAGGTTAATATAAAAAAAAAAATTCCCTATACGATATATAATTAAAAATATTAAAATAATTTTTATATTTCCTTCTAATAATTTTATTATAGAATATTTAAATATTTATTATAAGATAGTAATATAAAAAGATTTTTTAAATATTATTTTATAAATAATTCAATTATTTTCAAAATTTACTATATTTAGTAATTAATTTAATCATTAACTTAAAATTATTTTTATACATTCGGATATTCTAAATTCATGAATAAAATATGTGTATTTTAGATACTCTAAATAAAAAATACCTATTTTAAATATTTCAAAAAAAATCTATATACTTTTAAATTGTAAAATTTAATTATATTTGAATATTTGAAAAGTAAATCAGTTGTTCATGTCAAAAAGCAAGCAGTTTACCGTTTGTAAATAAGATAGTGGTATAACAACAATTTATCTGTTCATAAACGATAACAATACACATAAAAATTATCATATTCGCGTATTTAAACACTTACAAGTAAAATATTACACATTTTATAAGTACATATATTACGAATAATATAATTATTAATTATTACAAGTGATATAATTATTAATTGTAGAGTAAATAATTATATGAACTAATTATATATATTTTTATTAATTAGATAAGTTATAGAAATACAGATATATTTTTTAAAACGAATTTATGAATAACATTAAAATTTGATTTGATAGAGTTATAAATAAAGGATTATGATACTTCTAAAATTTTAATATATATAATATTTTAGTATATATATTATAGCATTGTTTGTCGCGAGTGATAAATTGATAGCTGTGTTTGAAAATAAAATGTTTATGGATATTTAGCATATCACGTTGAAGTTTTATATCTTTTTTTACTTCATATTGCAATAACATATAACTATACTAATTTTTTTACTTTTTACGGCTGTGTATTAACTTTCAAGGTTATCTTTTAAACAACGTAGAATAGCTTTATTATTATACAAAAAATAAATATACAAATATCAGTTTTATAAAGATATATATTATTTTATGGATTATTTGCTACTCTGATTAATAATTACTTTAATTCTTAAGTCTTTAATTGTTCTTAAAAATTTACTTCTACATCTGTCTGCATCATGTAATTAATTTAGTTTCAGTTCTATTAAAGACTTTTTTTAATTAGAGAAAAGAATTTCTTTTAATTAATTTATAATAATTTTATATTTATTATTAAAATTGAATTGATAGCGTTTTTATATATCCAATTTTTTTGAAAAAATTAATTAATTACATTAATTTTATATAATAGCATATATTGCAACATTAAAATATTTATAATATATGACAACGTGACAATTGACGATAATAACAATAAACCATAATGCGTGACCACCATTTTAATTTTAATGATCACAGTGACAGTTAATGATAATACAATCATAATGGTAATCGATATATCGATAAATTTTCTACGACTTCGTTCTTATTACCTAATTTAAAGGTATGATATTAATTTAAAACTATTTATCGGAATACAATTTATCGGAAATCTTGACAAAGTTCATAAAAACTTGGCTATAGAATAGAATCGCACAGTCTTAAAATGTACATGTTGAAACTATCATTCATTCTGCTATTTTTGGGATTCGTCAAGTTTTCGTGGCAGGACAAACAAGTTCCCAATGTGAGTACACTTACAGGAAACATTCGTGGTTATTATAAGAAATCTCGACACGATAGATTATACGAAGCTTATGAAGGCATTCCTTATGCGCAATCTCCAGTTGGTAAATTTAGATTCCAAGTATGTTGAATGATATTAGTAAAAAATAAGTCATTACAAGATGGAATTGTGTATTATAAAATTATAGTAATATAATATAAAATTTTAGCCACCTCGACCAATAAAAAAATGGTCGAAAGATCTATCAGCCACAAAGAAAAGTTCCGTTTGCATGCAATATCTTATGACTTTTAAGGCACAGAATGGAAACAGAGTGCAAGGTTCTGAAGATTGTTTGTACATAAATATTTACGTACCAGTTAGAAATAATAGAAAACCATTATTACCGGTGATGTTTTGGATTCACGGAGGCGCCTTCCAGTTTGCCAGTGGGAACGAAGCAAACGAGACATTTTTAATGGACCGTAATATTGTGTTCGTTGCGATTAATTATCGTTTAGGACCATTTGGTAATAATGATAGCTAAGAATGATTAGAACTATTTGTAAAAAAATGAATAAAATATTTATTTAAGGTTTCCTTAGTACTGGAGATATTATAGTACCTGGAAATATGGGATTGAAAGATCAAAGTATGGCTTTACGTTGGGTGTTTAATAATATTAGAAATTTCGGTGGTGATCCAAATAAAATAACAATTTTTGGAATAAGTGCGGGTGGCGCTAGTGTTCATTATCACTATTTATCACCTATGAGTGCCGGTCTTTTCAAAAGTAAACGATTATTTTTTTTCTTATTAATATTTAGTCTATCAAAATCTTTTAATTTTATATTTTATATAGGAGGAATATCGATAAGTGGTGTAGCATTTTGTCCTTGGGCACAGACGAAGCATGCTGCTGAAAAAGCTAAAAAATTGGGTGCTCTTATGAAATGTCGGACAGATGATATGAAAAAAATGGTCGATTGTCTTCGAAGTCGACCTGCCCGAATTATAGCACAAGCTGTTGGCGATTTCATGGTGAGTTATTCTTTCTTATTTTTTTTGTTTTTATCTTCATACATATATAAGTAATATATATATTATATATATATTTTATATACATATAATCAAATCTTAATCTCAGTTTTGGTTGTATAATCCTTTCACCCCTTTCGGACCAGTTGTTGAAACATATGGATCCAATCCCTTTATTTCCAATTCTCCAATTAATATTATCAATAATGGTCAAGCTTATGATGTTCCTTGGATCTCTGGCGTAGTTAGCAAGGAAGGATTATTCACTGCTGCAGGTCTGATTATGAAGTAAGAACATTAATAAAATTTTATTTTGATTCACTTGTAAAATAAACATTTTATTTTGATAGAATTTATCAGCAATGCCAAATTGTTACGGCATTTGAACGATCATTGGGACGATATCGCACCATATTTGCTCGATTTTAATGATACTATTCCGCTAAATCAGCATAGGCAAGTGGCGAAAAAAATTAAAAATTATTATCTGGGATCAGGTCCAATTAATTACGACAAAGTAGGATCAATAATACAAATGATGAGTGATCGATTGTTCAACATCGATTTCGAGAAAGCTGTTAGGTTACAAGCAAGAATTAACAAGAGCCCAGTGTGGATATATTATTATAATTATAGAGCTAAACATAGTGTTAGTGAAATTTTGAGCGGAGGTTCAACTACAAATTACGGTAATATTTTTTATAACAAAGAATATTTTATTATAACAAGAAAAAAATATTTAATGTGAATTATACTAAGTTAGGAGTAAGCCATGGCGATGATACATTTCTTGTGCTTGATTCAATTATTTCAAACACAACGAAACCACAGGATTTGGCTATGCAACAGTTATTGATCAATTTTTATACATCGTTTGCTATAAAGGGGTGAATAAGATTTTTTAAATATTATTATTTTTTGTTTTTTTTTTTAGCACATTTTATAAATATAAATTTTTAAATATTTCAGTATTCCACATATAGACGAAGCTACATGGCCATCATTAAATCCTAATGATCCTGATTTTCGTTATCTATATATAGTTAATTTCACAAACATAAAAATGGAAGTTAATAATAATTTCGCTAATAAAAACTTTTGGAAAACGATTCCTTTTGACGAAAATAAGCTAAATTAGAAGAGAGATAAATTAATTTGAAGTTTAGATTATTTGCTATATAATTCATAATTGTATTTTTGCAGGTCTTATAAAAATTGGTGAAATAAATTTAAACTCAAATTAATTTAAAAAAATTTTTTTTTCCAATGCAATTACGTCATTTTTTCAGACTGATTTATTGGAATTATGTTACGAATTGAAATAAGGTAGTTCTTCAAATTTTAATATTTTATTACTTAACTGAATGAAAATTAAAAAATGATTAACAAATTAGTTTTTCAAATCTTTATTTTTTATCGTTAAAAGACCATTGTATATTTTATGGGAAAATAATACATATAATAGAAAAGTTAATCTTTTAAAATTAGTAGATATTAAAGTAGAGATTAAAGATTTTACTATCTATTGCAATTATACTTATGCAATTATACATTCATATATTATATAATTCAAAAATTTTTTCTGATTATTCTATGATTTCCAGATTGATCATATAATAATTAAGTAATATAATATTACATATTTTTTAACTTAGTTACCACAATTTAAACATGTTATTTAATTAACATGTTTATTTAACAATTGACAAATAGCATTCATATAATACTTATTAGAAATCATATGGGAAACTCATAAAAAGCAAATCATTGATTAAGTATAAGCGTAATAAAATGAGCGTGATAAAAGTGTTGATTATTCTACTCTCATTGGATCTTACAAATTCTATCAGAATGAACCTAAAATCAAGATATCTCTTGAAGAAATGCGGATATTATAAAATTTCTCAACACCGTAGGTGTTAAAATACGAAGCTTTAAGAAGGCATTTCCTTGTTAAAATTAGATTCGAAGTAAGTCAATCAATTACCAAGAAAATAAAATTTTTCTCTTTTAAATAATTATTATTGAAATGTATTCAAATAGCAATATGAACTTTCAGCCTCCGTAATCTGTGGAAAAATGAATAACGAAAATGAATTATCCATCATAGAGCAAAGTTTTATACATTTTATTTTTCAATATAAAATTTTTGAAGTTAAAAACGGAAAGAGAATCATGCGCCATTATGTCATAAGGCACATGGAATGTAATAGCGATTTTGCGAATAAGAATTTCTAGACCTTGATAAATTTATATGAAAATAAGGTATATTAAAGAGGAAATAAACGAATTAATTTAATTACTTCCTAGATTATAATTTATCGAATCTATTTGCATTAAACGTGAATTTTTATATAGTCACAATAAGTAAATATTTTATTCTATTTTTTTTGAATTATCTTTAATTTTAAACATTTTTTTAGATTCTTTTTTAGATTAAAGTTTACTGCAACGTCGAAACGTTTTTATTTTTCTAGTTGCGTTTAATTTAAAGAGAACGAATTCATCTAAATAAAATTTATAGATTTTGCAGATAATAATTTATTTCCCAAACCCAGATCAATGATTCCGATAATGATTTTTCATAAAATATTGCAACTGCAAAGATTCAAGATACCCTTCTAGAGGAAGGAAGTGAGAATCACAGTAGATCGAGAAGTTGACATACAAAATCATTTATTCATATAAAAGGACACTTTATACTAGCACGTACTGTCAAAACTATCCTACTTCCATACAGTCGGGACCACCGAGGTATCCTCGGCTCGCTCGTTTCTTTATGTATCACATATTATTATACGCGGCAACCGATAACGGATTATGCTTTGAATAAGGGTTGTGATAATTGTCATTCTGTTGTCATTGTAATCGAATACAAAGTAAGAAAAAAGAGGAAGATAGAGGGGAAAAAAAGGAAAACAAACAAACAAAAATAGAAAAAGAAACTTGGATAAAATAAATCCATCACGAGCATAGTGAGTATATTCGCGTACTGTGCGTAGTTATTCGCCTCGCTATTCACAGCATGATCAATTTTAATCTACGCTCAGGCTTCCGTATGAAATTTATTTTCTTTTATCGTTAGAACGTTAGTCTGAGACGTAGAAGACGTATTGGCACCAGATAAAAATTGGTCATTCTGTGCATAAATATCATGTATTTTTTTTTTCTTATATTTATATATATATTTATATATATATATATATAAAATTCGCGTGAACTCGTTCTCGTTGGTAAAGAACACGTCCGTCGATTGATCATTGTTCGGTTGACACGACGGGAAAGATTTTTCACCAATGGCGAGCACGCTATCGTTAATTAATTACATGCATCCTATGTGTTTCACCATAATAATTAATATATCTTAGAGTTATACATGTATATCAATATTAAACGTTATTATATCGTAACCACACGATATTCGGATTTTTTTTTTCTTCTTTTACTTTCGGTACGATATCGCTATGAGTGTATGATGCGTGAATTATTAAAGATAAATACTAGGCTCGACTAATTACTAAAATCGTTAGCTTAGAATGAGCCGATTTGATTGCGCGTAAGTACTGAATCACGATATTGGCTCTCGTCGCAAATTAATGTATTAAAACCGTTTTGCGAGTGATTCTAGATCTTTTGTTCGTAAGGTTTTGCAAATTGGCGGGAAAGGAGCTTCAAATCGCCGAGAAAGTTACTTTCGTTTCAGTTGTCGAGTGTATTTTTCGATAAATTTTAACGCTTCGAAAAAAAAAAAAATGAAAAATATTCTTTTCGAATAGACGCGTTTTTAAGAAATTTGCGTTTTTCGAGTGAAAAACGTGGAGTGGCTACCCGACCGTGTGAAATGTACAAACAGTGGCTGGTCTGGGTTTTCAGATACTTTTTCCAAAAATTTTTTCCTCTTACATAGTAAAATTCAAGATGTAACACTAGAACTACCAATTTCGTTAAAACGGCAAATTCTTTAAAGTGCATTTATTACAAATATATAAGTGTATTTGGCAGAAATGAATTTTGACTCTTATCGATCTTATCTAAACACGATTATATAGTTATTTTCATCATATCGCTTTAATTATAATTATGTATATTTAGTATATTTATGTATATTTATGTACACGTTAGAGGTTGGTCGTTCCAGTGTTAGTCGATCAAATTTCTCAAATTTTATTTTCTATCCCTTATTTTAATTTTATAAATGCAACTTGGAACGCTAATTTTGAGAGTCAAAAAATGAAACGTTTTTCACATCTCGTTAATACAAAGTTTCGTATATAAATTTTTAATCAAATTGCGGAGTTTCCGTTAAAAAATTGACTCGTGTAAATTCCATATTATATTTAAACTTTATTTATCGGACGTGTAGCGTTGTTACGTACGTATATGATAAATCTTGGAGACAATGACAGTATCGATATGGCCACTTGTATCACGATCGAGTTGCCATTGGAAGCACTAACGCATTGCAGCATTATTCTATTCTAATTCCGTTTTTTTTTTTTTTCCCCGACGAGAATTATTGTCACGCGATCGGGTTCCTCCTCCGTGTTTACGAGCTAAGAACGAACGAACGAACGCGTGCACAGAAAAGAATCGACGGGAAAGTTTCGCTCGGGGACAGTGAGAATTCTTTCAAGGAAGACACAGAGAAAAAGACGTGTTTAGACACTCTATCGGTCTGATATCGTTGGCTTATTAAATTACAAAGAGAATGTTATTAATCAGCGTTCGTTCTATTACATCTAAGAACGGCCCCTAAGTTCCGAAGTCTCAAAGCGTGTTTGTCACTATGTGTTTGCACATTCGGCTCCCGTGTACGCACGCGGATCAACACACTTCCTCTTCTCCCCTTTACTCGGTGTTTTTCTTCTTCATCGCGCATGCGTGTATGTATGTATGGCTTATTATTTTATTTTATAAAACGCAAATCAAACTCTAATTGACTTGTTTGACACGGAATAATCGCGGGAGGGGAATTCGACACATTGATCTAGACGCGACACTTTGAGACTAGAGAACGAAGAAGAACAAATGTATATCGTTTCAGAGGCATAATTAATATCATATACTTTCGTACAAACGTATAGAACATCGTTAAGTTTGTTTGTTATTTTTAAAGGGGGGTACAGTGTGTATAAAGAATCGTATAAATGTATATATTTATATTTATATATATATATTTATATATATATGTATAATGACGCCAGCTCGCCGGAGAAGCAAATTCGCGATCGGTCCTCCGCGCGAGCCGCTGTTTGAGCTTTGAGATACGCGTACCTTTCGTCTTTCTTGTCTTTCTTGCTTCTTTTTTCCTTTTTTTTTTTCCATTTTTTTTTCCCTTTTACTCTTTAAACGTATAAATGTACCATGCACACACGCGCACGCACACATGCAAACGCGCGTGCCCGAATACGATCTTCTTTTTATTGCACGGATCGCTCGTTGCGAGGGAAGGATTTTCGTATTGCTCGTTCGTGTTGCATTCGTATGGTATAAAGTACAAACGATTTCATGTTCGTTGCAACGAATGAGCGATATCGCGTTAACAGGAAGACTGAGGATATATATATATATATATATGTATATGCATATATTATAAAAATTCCTCCAAGGAGAAGGAATGTTGTGCGTTCAGAAAAAAACAGTTTGGAAGAACGATAATTGCTAATTGAAAAATTCGTCATGGATCTGCGACGTTGTTGTATATTATAATCTTTCCGATCGTATCCCAGCACGCGTGGAACGTCAGCGGACGCGAGTAAATGTGGACTGATCGTAAGCGCACGACGCGTGTCAGCCGTGTAACGATCAAGATCTATCGCGATCGTGGGGCAAGATTGCCGTCGATCATCGTTGTTCAAGTTTTTTTCTACAGTGGTATTACAAGAGCAATGTATTATTACATAATATACGTGGCCATTCTCTTCTCTTAATTAATAATTCTCACGCAATTATTGATCGTACATGGGAAACCAGTACCAACAGCTTCGCCCAGCTCTTTGAAAAAGATCTTTCTGGTTGTATCCCTCGCACGATCGTGGCCGATTGCTGTTACAATGTCCACTGTAAAAGAGAAATCGTTCCTCGATCGTTTGTCGATAACACAGATTCCTATTATTTTCTTCGCATTTTTTTTTTTATTTATATATTTTTTTGGTCGCGCTCGATCGGAACGCTCTTTTATACGTTTGTTTCCCATCACCACGTTTAATTCCTAAATGACGATATTCCCATTTTTTTTTTTTTCCAAGCTTCAACGACGATGATCGCGGCTAAATTCAGCGCCGGCTTGACTGTCACGGAACGAAAGTTTAGTGCCGCTGTTGTCGGCACTGACGAAGGCACAGTCATAAGTCTCGTACGTTCAGCAACATTATCTTTTTTTCTTTATCGCTTCTTTTCCTCCATAATCGTTACATTTTTTTATTGGTAGAAAAAAAAAAAAAGAGAAATATTAATGGCGTGAAACGTGGAACTATATAACGAAATATTTCTTTCTTTCTCCATCATATCCCTTCTCGTTCCACCGATTTACGTTTCTGTTTTACGTTTGGCACCAAAAAAAAACGAGCCTTGTTTTACGCAAAGTTAAATTCTTCGTTTCTATTTCTTTTCTTTCTTTCTTTTTTTTTTTTCTTTTAGTCCTTCGTTACACGTACTCATATCTCTCTCTCTCTCTCTTTCTCTCTCTCTCTCGTTCTCTATTCCTATTCTCATTCTCCCCCTCTCTTTTTTTTTTCTTCTTTATATAACATAATATTATATTATAATATAAACGTTACGGTTTTGGCCACTCAGTTCGTGATCGCAGAAGCACATTACAGTCTGTGTTCCCGCGATATTTAGATAGTTTAGAATATTTTTAATTCACTTTTATACAACACTGATCCAGCTCTCTAAACTTCCTTTTTCCCTTGTATGCTCGTCCAAAGGATCCCCGGGATCTCGTTGGACGCCTCATCTCCTCCTTCTCGCCGTGGCCGCCGCGATCATTTGCCTCAACATCGGTTCCGGGCTGCACACTCGTGGATCACATTTCATGTTCCCGTCACCACCGCAACTGAAATTTTAAATTATCCAAATGGTAAATGATGCAAGAAAATTAGGAAGGCTTTAAAGAAAACGAAAAGAAAAGAAAAATGACTCGAGTACTGTGGCAGTAACTTACGTGCACTGAAGGCAAGGTCCAGACGCGGACCTAATGACTTCTCCAACGCGATACGCTTGGCCGCGAATCTGACATCCGCTTCGTTTCGCTGCTCCTTTGTATGCATGGGCGTGGAAATGAGGCGGTAACGTGGTCGTGGTCGTGGTCGTTGTCGTGGTGATGTTGAGCGACGTGGCCATCGACACGGGGCACTCGTATCTCGGGCAGCAGAAACCATTGATCGGTTCCTCGTGGCAACCTGGGATCGGTGGTGGGCAGCTCTGTTGCAGACAGATGATGTCGCTTCTGAAGCAGAAGCAGAAGTCGCAAGGATCGTCCCTTGGTATCTGTTGAGCCGAGACGTAGACTTTGCCGCCGTATCGGCAAGTGCCTGGTCCGTAAATCGCCTGGTCATCCTCGTCGTAGTCTTCGTTCGACAGATAACTTCCACTGTTCGTTGGGAAGTGCGGATTCTCCTCTCCGGATACCTGGTCGGAGTACTCGGGTATCTGAGGAGCTAATGTACTCGTTGCCTGGTGAAGGGTGGGTTGGACAGGTTGTTCAGTGGCTTTGAACGTTTGGTTCATTGATGGAAGGTGATGATCCAAGCCTTCCGCCGATTCTTCTTTCTCGGTCGTCGAACCGGAAGTTTCCGGCAATCCAGGTTCTTCTACTTCTCCCTCCTGTTCCTCTTCGCTCGATTCGACGACAGATGGCTCTGTTGGAAGCGAGTGAGTCTTCGTTGTGGGCTCTTCGACGGGTGCCTCGGTCGATTGTTGATCTTCTTCAGGTTTTGGGGAAGCTTCTTCTTTCTCTTTCGGCTCTTCCGGTGCTGGTTCCATGGTGCTCTTTTCTTGAGGCTCTTCCGTAGATGCTTGGACCGCAGGATGTTCCTCGGCAGTCTTTTCGGTTTCTGGTTGTGCCATCTCTTCTTCGTGTTCCGTAGATGTTTCGATTGCAGGTTCGATGGAAGGTTGAGTTTCTGATATGCTAGGTTGTGCTTTCGTTACGCCAACTTGTGCTTCCTCCGAAGATTCCGCTTCCTTAGTCATATCTTCGTGCACCTCGGACGCGATCGTTGTTTCTGGTTGCTGTTCTTGAGGAGACGTCGCTTCAATTTCAACCGCTGCTGTAGTTGGTCGCGCCAACTCTTCTTCCTCAGTGGTTGGAGGCTTGGTCGCTTCTTGAGGAGCTTTGGTCGCGCCTTGTTCGGGTAATTGTTCCTTGAGAGAAAGATCTTCCGTAGTTTGAGAAATTTCTTTTTCTTCTTCGGGCCCAACTGTTTGTTGTTCCTCTTCGACTGTTGGCTTTTGCTCTTCCGTCACAGGCTTTTCTTCTTCTGGAAGAATCTTTTCCGTTGTTTCCGCAGGCTTTTCTTCTTCAGGAGCAAGCTTTTCCGTCGTCTCGGCTGGCTTTTCCTCTTCGGGAGCAAGCTTCTCGGTCACTTCAGCAGGCTTTTCCTCTTCAGAAACGATCTCTTCTGTTGTCTGAACTGGTTTTTCTTCTTCGGGAACAATCTTTTCCGTCACTTCGACAGGCTTTTCCTCCTCCTCCTGAGGAACTTTTTCTGTCGTCACAACTGGGCTTTCTTCCTCAGGAACAATCTTTTCCGTTACCTCGCCAAGTTTTTCTTCGGGAATAATTTGTCCCGGCATTTCTGTAATTTGATCTCCCGCTGCTTCAGTAGGCTGAGCTTTTGTCGATATTTCACCAGGAACTTCCTTCTCCGATGTCTCGGTAGTAATTGCTTCTTCTTGCGCCCCGGTTGGAACTTCCTTTTCTGGAATTTCTTCGGCAGGAATTGCAGGTAGTTCGGTCGAATATTCCTCTGGTGATGTTACAGCTTTCTCTGGTGGAACCTCGGAAGGAAGTTCTTGTTCTGGAGTTTCCGTGGAAGGCGCTATCTTCTCAGCAGCTTCCGTAGGTTGCACAGGCTGTTCGGTGGAAAGCGCTTGTTCCGGTATCTCGGACGGTACTTCTTCGGTTGGACCAGCCTCGAAGGATGTTTTGGAAACGGTCGCTTTTTCGATCTCCGCTGCTGGAGTCGCCGTTTGTTCCTCGCCTTGTTCCTTTTCTTCTTCCGTTGGTCTCCCCGTCGCTTCCTCCATCGATGGTGCTTCGGTCTGTCGCGTCACTTCTGGAATACCCTCTTCCGGTTTCCTTTCAGTCACCGAAGCTTGTTCCTCTGGAGACAGAGCTACTTCACTTGGCACAGTTGTCGCTTTCTCTTCCGGTATTTCTTCCGTTACAGGCTTCTTCTCTTCTTCTTTTCCAACTCTTCTGGTGAAATTGGGCTTGGAGTATAATCAATCGAAGAAGGTGTCTCGCTAGATTGCTCTTCGCTCTTGACTGTAACTTCCTCACCTTCTACAATCGATTTCTGAGTTCCTTCCTCGGGTTTCTGCGTCTGTTCAGGAGCTATTGTAGCTTCCTTCTCGGCCGGCACCGCAGATTCTGTTGCTTGTTCTTCCTTCTCCGTCACCTGTGCCGGAATTTCAACCGGTGCTGTAGTTCCAAGCGTTTCTTCGCCTTCGACAGAAACTGCTTTTTCTGTCGTTACGCGTTCCTCTGGTTCAACGGTTTCTTCCTTAACTCTTTCCGTAACTGTTTCTTCGGAAACAGATGCCACCGTTTCTTTCTCGATAGCAACAGCAGGCTGTTCCGTTTGCTCTTGAGACAAAGTCACTTCCACAGGAACAGCTCTCATCGTGGTGACTTCATGTGCCGTTTCCGTAATCGCTTCCTGAGAAACGGAGGATGGTGTAACTTCCTCCTCGCTAGGTGGAGCGGGAGTTTCCTCTGGAGTTGATTCGGACGATGGTAAAGCTTCTTCGGGCTTGCTTTCGACGATAGTTGGTTGCTGCTCTTCGCTGACACCCTGTTCTTCGGTTGTTTCCTTCGTAGGTATCGCTAGTCCTTCCTCGGTGCTCGTCTTAGCAGATTCGGTCGAGCTTGGCACTTGTTCCTCGGATACCGTTTGCTGTTGAGGTATCTCTGTGTGTTGCTCCTCTGCAGCTTCCGTAGTCAACTTAAGCGTGCCTTCAGGTGCAACTGTTTCTTTGGTTTGTTCGCCTGTTACAGTAGTAGGTATTAAAGGTTGTTCAGTTCCAACAGCCTGTTCCTCCGTTGGAGGAATCTCTGGTTTCTTTGCCTCGCTTGGTATCGTGACCTCTTCTTCCTCCTGAGGTGCTTCAGTTTTACTTGGTTCTTCCTTAGTCACGCCAGATTCGGTTACTTCCTCTGACGTCGGAACTTCTGTAGAGATTTCCACTTTTGTCGTTCCAGGTGCCTCACTTTCGATGGGTTTAACGGTTTCCTGTTCTACAGGAGTAACTTCTTGCTCTGGAGTAGACTCTTCCACGGTTGGAGGAGATGGCTTTTCTGATTCACTGGGTTGAACAGTCTGCGATTCACCTTGTGCAGTAGTAGGATGTTCAGGTTGTTCTTTCCTTTCTTCTTCGGGTTGCGTTACCGATTCCACGCTCAAAGTTGTTCCTTCTTCCGATGGAGTTTCGGCATTTTCCTGTGGCTGGCCTTCTGGTACGAGGGTAGAACTTGGAATTTCGGACTTTTGACTCGTACCTTCTTCCGAGATCGCGGGAGAGACGGTTGCCTGTTCTTCACCCTCTGCAGGTTTTTGTTCTTCTTCCTGTGGTTGTTCACCCGTTGGTTTCGTGGTAGGAGCTTCCTTTTCAATTGCAACGGAAGTTTCTTCTTCTTCTTGAATCGGTTGTGTCGTCTGTTCCTCGCCTGCTGCCGGACTCGAGGGTTGTTGCTCTTCGGAAACATGTTTCTCGATTGGCTGTTCAGGAGATGGCACCTCTGTTGCTTGCTCTTCCTCTCCTTCCGTGCTCTTTACCGAACTGCTTGGTATTTCCGATGAAGTTTCTTTCAAAGTTTCCTCCGAAGGTATTTGACTAGAAGATTCTACCTGCGCTGGAGGTACCGGGCTGAGAGTATGCTCTTCGGCTTCTTTGGCACCTTCCTCGACACTGGTCACTTGCGTGTGATCAGGTTCGACAGATTTCGGGGTCATTTGCGCTTCTTCTTCCAAACCAGGCGCAGCAGTCGTCTGCTCGCCTGTTTCCACGCTAGGTGTTTTTGGTGCTATGGTGGTCGAATGCTCTTTCACTTCGACACTTTCCGTTGTTCCTTCCTTAGCAAGTTCCGCCTCTAGAGGTGATACGGTCTTCTGTTTCTCCTCCTCTTCGTATTTAGGCGTTTCATGCTCGATCATGTGATTATCGGATTCCAAGCCAGCGGTTGGCGTCGAGTCACAAGCGTACATCGGGCAGCAAGAATCTTTACCAATGTGAAGTGGCATACAATTCGATAAATGGTTCGGGGGCGGTGGGCATTGAACCAAATCGCACTGAATAATACTACTGACGCAACGGCAACCGAGTTGACAAGGATTCGAGGGAGGAATGGCAGAGTTATTGCTGTAAGATTGCCCTTCGACGAGACAATTGCCCTCTCCTGGAATTGTTGGCGGTATATGATAAGGAGGCTGTGTCGATACCTCTTCTTCGGGTATTCCTTCGGCCAACGTGGATTGCTCGACGATTCCTTCAGTCCCGACTTTTGACGATGTTTCCGTGTATGGGGTAGTTTCTGAGACTTCTCCTTCCTTAGGTGCAGATGTTGCTTCTTCTGTAATCTTTTCCTCCAACACTGGAGCTTCCGTTTCTTTTTCTCGAGAAATTTGCGTTGTTCCCTCTTCTCTCGATGGAGCTTCAGTTTGAACTTGTTCGGGAACAGATATCTTTTGTTCTTCTTCCGCTGGACTGGTTTCCTCGGAAGATGCCGCAGATTCGGTCGGTGATACTTCAGTCACGATACCTTCTTCGGATATTTTTCCTTCTTCTTTGATTGTTTCTTCGCTTGGAACAGCTGCTGTTGTCGCTTCAATCGGTAATTCTGGTTGTTGAGTGGTTCCTTCTTCGATGGGCTGTTCTGGAATTCGTTTAGTAGATTCCGTAGAAGGTTCACCACGATCGGTAGGAGTTTCCGTTGATTTTTCTTGCGGTGTTCCAGCAATTTCTGTTTGCGTTTCTTCCGTGGGTGAAGCTTCTTCTTTCAAAGCGATCGTGGAACCCTCTGGAATTTCTTTTGGAAGCTCTGTCGATGCTTCAGTTATCTCTTTAGGAGCAGACTGGCTAACAGTTTCTTCTACAGTAGGAACTTCAGTAGATACTGGTTCGACACTTTCAGAGGGTTTCTCTTCTATCGTAGGACCTTCAGTTTCAATCTTCCGTTCTGGTGTCACAGTCTCTTGAGAAGGTGCGACTTCGCTTGGTTTTTCTTCCGCAACGGGTTCTACAGTTGTCTTTTCCTGCTCAACAGGTTCGACAGATGGTTTTTCTTCTTCGGCAATCTTTTCAGTTGGTTTCCCTTCCTCTTCTATTGGCTGTTCAGTTGGCTTCGCTTCCTCAGCAGGTTTTTCCTTTTCGACAGGTCCTTCACTTTGTTGCACTTCTTCTTCTTCTTTAGGTTGTTCACTAGATTCTTCTTCTTGCACAGGCGCTTTAGTTGATTTTTCTTCCTCACTAGGTTTTTCTTCTTCCGCAGGCATTGTTGATTTTTCCTCTTCAATAGGACTTTCAGTTGGTTTTTGTTCTTCTGCAGGCAATTCAGTCGATATTTCAATTGGTTTTTGCTCTTCAACAGGTTGTTCTTCTCCTATAGGCCCTTCACTTGGTTTCTGTTCTTCCGCAGGTTGTTCTCTTTCGACAGATTTTTCGGTTGGTTTTTCTTCCTCGACAGGTTTTTCCGTTGGTTTCTCCTCCTCAATAGGTTTTTCTTCTTCAACAGGTACCTGAGTCGGCTTCTCTTCCTCTCCCAATTTTTCTTCCTCCTCGACATGTTTTTCCTCTTCCATGGGACTTTCAGTTCCTTTCTCCTCTTCCACTGGTTTTTCTTCTTCTTCAACAGGTTTCTCACTCACCTTTTCTTCTTCCACAGGTTCAGTTGGCTTCTCTTCTGCCGTTTTTCCTTCTTCGATCGGAGTTTCAGTCGGTTTTTCTTCTTCCGCGTGTTTCTCCTCTTCGATAAGTGGTTCTTCGGTTGTTTTTTCACCTTCTACTTCAGTCGGTTCTTCAGTCGGTTTTCCCTCAACAAACTTCTCTTCTTCCTCCTCTTTTGGTTCTTCACTAGGTCGCTGCTCTTCACTAGGTTGCTTTTCGGTTGATTTCTCTTCTTCGATAGGCTTTCCAGTTACTTCAGCTTCTCCTGGCACTGCAGTCATTTTTTCCTCCTCTGCAGGCTTTTCAGTTGTCTTCTCTTCTTCAAGAGGTGGCTTCTGAACGCCTTCTTCCTTCTCAGATGGCTTTTCAGCACCTTTCACGCTCTCTTCATCCTCTTTACGCTCGCTGATAGGAGATTTAGTATGCTCCTCCACAGGAGCTTGAGTTCCTTCCTTCTCTAATCCTGCCTCTGTCATCGCCTCTTCCGTCGATGGAGACGCAGCTGCAGGTCCTTCGGTTTGTTGTTCTTCTTCTTTCGTAGGCTCCTCTGTCTTTCGTTCTTCTTCTACCTGTTCTTCAGTCGTTTCTTTGGTTATAGGTGCTTCGGTCTGTTCGATAACAGGCTGTTCCGAAGACTCTGGCGTTTCTGTTTTTTCTTCCATGGACGCCACTGTTGGGTGAACTTCGATCGTTAAACTTTCTTCCGTTGCTTTTTCAGCCTCCTGAGTTGCTGGCGTGCTTTCTGTTTCAGGTGTAGCCTCTTTCGGAACTTCTTCGAGAGGTTTCTCGCTTGCTTCACCTTCTTCGTTAACGGGTACTGTGCTTATCTCTTCACCTTCTGCTGGTTTGGCGGTAACTGGAGCTTCCTCTTTGCCAGCAACTGGTTTCTCAGTCACCTGTTCTTCGCCAGCTTCCGAACCGACTTCAGGTTTTTCGCTTGGCACACCTTCTTCTGGCGCAACAGTGACTCGTTCTTCTTGTTCAGTAGCAACTTTCTCTTCTGGGACCACTTCCGTACTTATTTCTGGGCCACTTTCTGTACTTACTCTCTCGGTTCTAACAGTCTGTTCTTCGACTGCTGGTTGTTCCGTTGGATGCTCCTCGGACACAGAAGGCTGTGTTGGCAGGTGTTCCTCGGGTTCTTTCTCCGTCTCGATCGGTTTCTCTTTGGAAACTTCCTCACTGGAATCGTTCACTTCCTCGGATGAAGTTACTTCTTCGGATTCCTCGATAGTCAATCCCTTCGTGGGCAGTTCTTCCTTGGAAGTTTCCTTCGTGGGCAAAACCTCGGAAGACGAGGTTTCCGTGCTCTGTTCCTCCTGTAAGCCAGGTTGTTCCGTTTGTTGAGTCTGTTCCTGTGGAAGTTGCTGCGTCGTCGATACCTCGACACTTTCTTTCTCCTCGCCTGGAACCTGATCACTCTCGGTAACCGGGGAAACTTCTTCTTCGTTTCGTTGCGGCTCGGTCGTGGATCCTTCTTCGGGCAATTGCGCTTTTATCGTGGTCCCTTCTTGCTCGATAGGTACGGTTTGCTCTTGCTTAGGAGCGGACGTTTCCTGCTCTGGTAGATACGTGGACGAAGGTTCCTTGGCTAAAGGAACTTCGGTCACGAGGCTGCTCGGTACGTGAAATTCTGGCGGCTTCATGTCAATATAGCCTTCGGTCACCTGCATTTCGGTCACCGCTTCCTTGTCCTCTGCTTTGCTTTCAGGTATACGTTCCGTGATCGAAATTCCTGGCGGACCCTGTTCTGGAATCACCGGAGTTTCCTCCTCCTCCTCTTCTTCAGCCTTCTCAGTAGACGGTCTCTCATCAATCTCCGGAGAAATAGTTTCCGGAGGAATTTCAGGAGGAATCGCGTCTTCCTTCTTAGGAGCCACGCCAACCGGTGTCTTATGTTCGTGTACGATTGGCTGTTCCGTTTCTACCGCAGCTTCCGTACTCGTTTCTTGTTCTACCCCATGTTCCGCTGGAACACTTGCCTCTGTAGGCTGCTGCTCCGTGCTTACTTCTAACATTGGCCTCTCTTCTTCTTTCTTCTCTTGTTCTTCTTTTTCTTCTTCTTGTACAGGAACTTGTTCGGTACTTGGAACAGATTTTTCAGTAGCCACTTCTGTTTCAGGCGTAGCTGCTTCCTCTGCACCCTTTTCTTCGCCAGGCGCCACCGTTGTTCCTCTTTCTTCCTGTTCGGATGCGGGGCCTTCCGTTTCCTTCACTGCTTCCGTCACTTGTTCTTCGTTCAAACCCTTCGTCGTTGTCGCTTCAGGGACCGAGGAGGACGTTTCCTTCTCTTCGCTTGGAAGTTGAGGTGTGGACTTTTCAACCGACTGCTCCTCCTCTTCAGCCACAGTGGACCCGGTGACGCTTGGCTCTTCTTCCTTCTCCTCGCTAGGAACAGGCTTTTCTTCCTCGCTTGGTTTCGCCTCCTCTTCCTTCTCCCTGCTTGGAGGTAATTCAGGCTGTTCTCCCTTCTGCTCTCCTCCTACGGTTTGCGCTTCTTCCGGCACTGCTTGCTCGGTAACCACCTGTTGCTCTTCCCCTTCTTTCACTTCTCGAGTAGTTTCTTCCGCGGGTATAGTAGCCAGTTCTTCTTCGCCTTTCCCCTCCAACGCTTTTTCCGTCGCCTCCTCGGGAGGTGCTGTTAACTCGGCTACCGTACCTTCGGTCACGTATTCTTCCGTGATACCAATTTCTTTTCGAGTAGCGGTGGACGCCTCCTCCTCCTCTATCGATGGAACCTTCTTTGCCGCCTCCTCGACGACGGGCAGCGCGGTGCTCGCGGCCTCGTGGTCTTGAGGAATGACGTTGTCAGAGCCGGGGAACGACTCCTCCGTCGTTTCTTCGGGAACTTGTCTCTCAGCTTCCGTTGCCGCAACAGTGGTCTCCTGAACGTGTCCCTCGGTCGTGGATCGTTCCTCGCCTCTCGGTAACGTCACCACCTCTCCGTCATCTTCTATGCGACAAAGAACGTTTGTATATATAGAGGGAGCTAGCTCTCTAAAAGATAGAAAGGGAAGGATCGATAAAAGGGCGCGCGTCTCTTACCGCACTCGTACGTGGTCGGGCAACACTCGCCTTCCGGCGGTGGCAGGGCCGTGCAGTTCTTCCCGTGCGTCTTCATCGGTGTCCCGCAATCCTGGACGGCGCACGCGATGTCACCGTGGAAACAATAGCAGTGCTGGCAAGGCTGGGTCGAGTATATCAAATCACCGCCCTCGTAAACCTTTCCTTCGTGGTAGCATTGAGACGTCGCCCCGGGGGCCATCGTTGTGGTCATGATGAGGCCGGGCGTTGGTTCAACCGTCGTCGCGAGTTCCTCGTCGTATTCTGTATAATTCGACAAATTAATCGTGGTTATTCGAAAAATCGATCGGCAAAATTTGAAAGCCAACTCGCGAGTATTAATTTTTCATCTTCGACTCACCGCAATTGTATTTGACAGGACAGCACACTCCGGGTTGATAGACCGGCCTGCACCCGGCCACGCGCAACGTACATTCCTGCATCACGCAGGTGGTCCTGTTCCTGATGCAGTAGCACAGCTCGCAAGGATTCTGAGGATCGATGGGCAGCTGGGCACCGTCCGCGTAGAACCGGTCGTCCACGTTGCACCCGTAATTGTCGTGGAATCCGACCGCCGTCGAGCCGGAAGTGGATGGGGCGCTAGTAGTGGAGGTCAACAACTGTACCGGCACCTCTGGGCAGGTGATGACGGGGCAGCACTGATCCGGCCGCTTCTCCACGGTGCAATCCTGGCCGATCGCTTTCGTGAAGGGGCAAACCCTGAGATAGCACATCAGCATTCGATTGTGGCACGTGCAGTTTAAACACGGCTCGTTGGTGATGATCCTATCCCCCTCCTTGTAGTGTTGGTAGTTGTAGTAGCATCCGGCTGTGGCTGTGAATTGTTTCCAAAAAATTCTTTCCGTCAGACTCTTTCTCTTTTCCCTTCCCGAGTTTTTCGCGGTTAGAATTCGAATTCTTTCGATTCGATCCTCGAAAGAGACGGAGGAAAGATCGAGTTCTGTCGAGGGGATATATATATATATACGTACGCGTGGTGTTTCAAAGAGTGGTGTCTGGGAATATGTGACACGGAAGGTCGAAGCGCGGTTCTTAATATTCATCGAAAGGATCGATTGAAAGCGGCACCGTGTAAGAATCGTTAAAACGGCACGTGTCGCCTGTTCGAATGCGATACAATTAACGTCACGTCGGTGGCGTGCGCGTACGTTGATTAGAAGTAATGAAACTCGCCAAGTCGTACGTACCTCCATCGTATTCCGCTACTTGTGTGGTATCCTGGTCGTACACAGGTGCTGCGACAGAAAGAAAGGCACATTTTTATTACGTTTTTCACAATGTTTCACGATAAAATAAAAAAATTGCAATAATCGGATGGGAGGAAAGGAATAATTCGATAAACCAATAACACCAATGTCAAAATTCCACGGTGGAATCTGTGAATAATCTCTCTAAGAAACTCTCGTAGTTTCCCATGAAATTCAGCAAGGGGAGGAAGACGAGAGCCGTGTCTCTGCGCGCAGTTTATCATAGTAATTACCGGCGGGATGCGTTTGTCCTGAGGGTGAACAGGGCTTAACAACGGAGTGAGTCAAAGCGTCATATGGCGCGAGCGTACGTGGGCGAATTCTCGTTAACACCCTCGCCCCAGTCGAACGAATTGTATGCCGAGTGCGCGTGGAATTCTTATTCTTTTTTTTCTTTTCTTCTCTTTCTTTCTTCTCCCTTGTTTCTCTCTCTCTCTCTCTCTCTCTCTCTCTCGCTTGTTCCGTCCTTCGCCTCGCTTTATCTTTATCCCTCTAATTTTCAACGTCGACGGTTGGAAGAAAAGAAACGCACGTGCGCGAATAACCCCCCGACCTCTCGTTTCTCGTTTTTTCCGTTCCTCGTTTCTTCTCGTGCTCTTGCGGGGCGTTTTCGCAATTTCTTCGGAATTGAAGTGTCGCGGAATTGAGGGGGGGAGGGGACTCGAGAGTTCGATTGTTCGTGAAACGGCACCCTCTGCCATTCTTCCCTGCTCGCACAATAAGCTTCGCCTTCTCTCTTTTCCAGACTTTCAGTTTATTGCGAATTTCAAGTGGAATTCAAGGTTTCTTTCTTTCTTTCTTTCTTTCTTTTTTTGGAAGAAAATTCTCTCTCGTTGAGAGAGAAGTAGGTGTTATTGGTAGATCGAATCATCGAATTGGAGATTATGTAATATACAATAGGACGAAATTTCGTTACGATGCGATGTCTCATCAAGGGAATGCGTAAGCGAAATGTGGATAGTGTACGAATTCGTAAATGACGGCTCTCGTCCTCTTTTCGAAACCTCTCTCTGCCTGTACTTTTTTCTTTTTCCTTTCCTTTTCTTTTTTTTTTTTTCTTTGAAAACCGTCCAGGAACTCTTTGTAATGCGCGAAACGTCCCTTGTACGCGGGATACGTGCATTGCGAGGCGAAGGATTCGAATGTCCAGTATAATCCCTTCATTGAACGTACCGGGTTGGCAGATTTATTACATGGCGCTGAAGATTGTTCGCCAACGTTTTTTTTTAAACCTCGTATGACGATCTCCTTTGTTTCAAATCGACTGTCCCATCCCTCCCTCCCGCCTGATAAATTTTAATGGCCACGTTTCGAAAAAGATCGGACACGCTCGAACGGGATCTCCGAATTTTATTACTTCAAACTTTTCGAATCGAAAGTGATCGCGTAATTCTTCGATGGAACGAAGATTAAGATTAAAAGTAAAATTAAATCGAATCGAGGTTCTTCTAAATCTACGCAACCTTTTTTCGATTTTTTAATAAAATTTTCACAAAAAACGTTATAACACAACGTTCTTCCTTTCGCTACGGGCGATTTCTCTGCCATGTCAAAAATGTGCTCGAGAAAGATCGTCAGCGTATACGCCTCACAATTCGAATTTGCTTTGACAATTTCTTTATTGAAAAAAAAAATTGATTCTACGTTGAGAAAGATGTACAATAACTCGAATCGCTTGTCATATCGTACGATACGCAGCATCTTATGCAGAGCGACTATAATTGCCCATAATGCTTCAGTGGCATCTTATGCAGACCGATTATAGCCGCCCATGGTATTCTTATGCAGAGCAACTATAGTCATCCATAATGTTTCAATGGCATCTTATGCAGACCGATTATAGTCGCCCATATTGTTCTTATGCAAAGCGACTATAGTCGTCCATAATATTTCTTATGCAGAGCGATTATAGTCGGTCATAATGCTCCAGTGGCATCTTATGCAGAGCGACTATAGTCGTCTATAATACTTCTTATGCAGAGCGATTATAATCCCTCATAATGCTTAGTGGGATCTTATGCAGAACGATATAATCGCCCATAATGTTTCAATGGCATCTTATGCAGACTGATTATAGTCGCCCATATTGCTTTTCGAATCGAAAGTGATCGCGTAATTCTTCGATGGAACGAAGATTAAGATTAAAAGTAAAATTAAATCGAATCGAGGTTCTTCTAAATCTACGCAACCTTTTTTCGATTTTTTAATAAAATTTTCACAAAAAACGTTATAACACAACGTTCTTCCTTTCGCTACGGGCGATTTCTCTGCCATGTCAAAAATGTGCTCGAGAAAGATCGTCAGCGTATACGCCTCACAATTCGAATTTGCTTTGACAATTTCTTTATTGAAAAAAAAAAATTGATTCTACGTTGAGAAAGATGTACAATAACTCGAATCGCTTGTCATATCGTACGATACGCAGCATCTTATGCAGAGCGACTATAATTGCCCATAATGCTTCAGTGGCATCTTATGCAGACCGATTATAGCCGCCCATGGTATTTCTTATGCAGAGCAACTATAGTCATCCATAATGTTTCAATGGCATCTTATGCAGACCGATTATAGTCGCCCATATTGTTTCTTATGCAAAGCGACTATAGTCGTCCATAATATTTCTTATGCAGAGCGATTATAGTCACTCATAATGCTCCAGTGGCATCTTATGCAGAGCGACTATAGTCGTCTATAATACTTCTTATGCAGAGCGATTATAATCCCTCATAATGCTTAGTGGGATCTTATGCAGAACGATATAATCGCCCATAATGTTTCAATGGCATCTTATGCAGACCGATTATAGCCGCCCATGGTACTTCTTATGCAGAGCAACTATAGTCATCCATAATGTTTCAATGGCATCTTATGCAGACCGATTATAGTAGCCCATATTGTTTCAGTGGCAAGCGACTATAGTCGTCCATAATGCTTCAATGATATCTTATGCAGAGCGATTATAGTCGGTCATAATGCTCCAGTGGCATCTTATGCAGAGCGACTATAGTCGTCTATAATACTTCTTATGCAGAGCGATTATAATCCCTCATAATGCTTAGTGGGATCTTATGCAGAACGATATAATCGCCCATAATGTTTCAATTGGCATCTTATGCAGACTGATTATAGTCGCCCATATTGCTTCTTATGCAGAGCGACTATAGTCATCCATAATGTTTCAGCGGCATCTTATGCAGACCGATTATAGTCGCCCATATCGCTTCAGTGGCAAGCGACTATAGTCACCCATAATGCTTCAATGATATCTTATGCAGAGCGATTATAGTCGCTCATAATGCTTCAGTGACATCTTATGCAGAGCGACTATAGTCGCAAATATAATAGCAAAAGGGTTGACAACCTCCAACGATCGAAAGAAAAATTGACAAATCCCCCTCCAACGAGCATCTTCCTCCACAAAAATCAAGTGCAAGTTCCGCGAAGCGAGGAGATAACTGTGACGAACGGGCATCCTCTGCTGGCGGTGACACACGGCTGGGCACGGTCGCTCGATCGGAAGTCCGTCCGCGGCTCGAAGGCGCGAGGTTGAAATGCGCGGCGCGTGCGTTTCCGCAAGGTGTTCTCCAGTGGAGAGGATTCGCGTTTCCATGGTACGTGCCTGGCTCGCCGGCCGAGCCAACGCATATTCGAGAATCATGCATTCCGGGAGGCGTGCGGGTCGTGCACCGGCCGTCCGTTTCCAACGAATTGAATTGTACTGGGAAGCGCGCCGGGGTCCGTGAATGGAAGGGCCGTCCGTGTCTCTGTCGCGAGTCCCACGAGCCCGTGTCCCCAGCCGCGTGCCTCCACGTTACACGGCCCACCACGTATTACCACGTGTTACGCGTACATGCATGCACACACGCCGAGACGATTCTCGTCTCGCGCGGGCTGAATTATCGCGGACGGAGGAAGAAGCGGGCTTCGTGTCGAGATGTCGACGTTTTCGCGCCTGATTACGATCTTTTATTTTTGCTTTTATTTTTTTTACTCCTTTCTTCCCTCGGCCAAGTATTTCTCTTTCGACTACAAAAATACCGATGGAAAAAAGTCTCGCGAAAGAAGCGGGCAAGAGGGATTTGTCCTCGCTTTGGGACGATTTGTCGGAGAGATATAATTTGAATATGTTGAGAAATTAAAAAAGTTAAGAAATTATTTTCATTTACGAAGGTTAGGTTATTAGGATAATCATTATTTTAGTATGTTTCGTATACGTACAATTATGAGAAATTAAACAAAAATTGTATTGCCTACGCTGATGCATCGAGGTTCAAATACAGATCGTTCTTTTTGGATTATGTGCGATAAATGGTAGAAATGGGTGTGAAAATAGAAGTTTCTTTTTAAATTAATCAGATCCGCATTTCTTTCACGAGACTTTTTTTCATCAGTGAACAAATAGATCTAAAACGAAGATTTAAAGAGTGGTGTCTTAAATCATTATGGTCCTTTCGACTTTCAGCAACGATGCGAAGAAATCGATATCGTGATGGAAATTTAGATATTAACGAAATTTTGAAATTTTGAAAAATTGAATTTGAGAATGAATGTTTGAACGTTGTACGAACGATCCTGATTGCTTTTATCTTAAAATTGTTTGACTAAGGTACGAAGAATATTATGGGAAATTTAAGTATTATTGAAAGCAAGTTCGCGTAGCAAGTTCCGAGTATCATTGCCAATAAAATGAAAAAGTCAATATTAATAACGGAACGTAATTCTATACCTGATTCTTGATAGAAATAAAAAAAAATACCAAGTGAATTAGTATCGATTCGAATGTGTTCGATAGCCAGTGATCCGATTGCTTTTATCTTAAAATTGTCTCGACTAAGGCACGAAATCATCAATATCAAAGTGAGAATTGTACGAATAAGTGATAATCAACAAATCGTGGAAATTCTTGATAGAAATGTTGATAGAAAAAAAAAAACTGTAAAAATCTCGACGAAAGAGGCGGTGAAATTATAATTAGAGGATGGAGAAAA